CTCGTAAACTATTTTAATAGGGCGTTTTTCGGACAGTGCGATTTCAGATGAAAAACAATTGAAAGTGAATTTTTTTATACTCCCTAATGGAAATGGTAAGTGAAAGGAAAATCTAATACGTAATATCTCCACCATTGCGTTTTCGGTGATCCAAGACTTTGGGATTGAAATTGGACAAAGACATGCGATAAAAAAAAATTATGAGAGGACCGCAAATAAGTTTCGTAGGCATCCAACGGAAAGCCTGCCCAGATCAGTCCATAAAGACAACAAGTCAAAAAGCAGTAAGTTCGGCCGGGCCGAACTTTGGGTAACCTTCATCGGTAAACTTTGTTTGTGCTCTAATAACTTGCGAAATAAAAAGTCATGAAGTCAAGCTACCGGACCTATTTCATTGAAATAGGAGTTGGTACTTATGGTGTTGAGTTTATCGATCTGAGTTTTTACACAAAACCATGATGGTGTGCGAAGGAAGCGTGGTAAATTTCCCATGGGCGTTATTTTGACGAGCGCTGCTGTAGAACTTGTTCAGAAAGTCTGAAATACTCAAGAGCTTGTTAATAATAGACGCTTATTATTACTGCTTCAAAAGACTTATTCTGGACAGAATTTAGTCTTCAGCTATAGAAGTCACTTTGTAAAACTCGTCTACGTAATACACATGGTTTGTCTATAAAAGACACCCTATAGAGCTAATGTGTGAAATTCTTTCTCAGCTTGAGTGAAATGGGTAAAAAGGCAGTAAGTTCAGACATCCCGAACTTTGAATACCCTCCAACATTTGGAAGAAATGTTCAAATTTTGAAAAAAAAAATCAATTGAAAAATACTGCTAGAATCGTAAAAATACTGTTATTTTGGGACCCATACGAGGAAGTGGACCCGCATGGGCAATTTTTGTCATAGACCATTACGGCATTCAAATGCGAAACTTAAAACAATTCCGGTCGATAATGTGTTGTCATAGGTTGTAGTACCCATTACAAAATTTGAAATAATTCCCGGAAAAAGTGTGACATTAGAAATTTAAAATACGAAATGTAAAACAATTCCAGTGAGTAATGTCGCTGTAGTATCCATTAGGAACTTCAAATACGAATTTTGAGATAATTAAAATACCAGATATCTGGAGGTACAATGATATGGGGACTTTACCAAAACTTAGACCTCTATTGACAGTTCTACGCTAGGATATTTCATACATTAACACATAGTGGCAATTTACGGCAAATTCGGGTTAAAAGTGTGCCAAAAACACCAAAAAAGCCATAAATGAGGCGGTACAGTTATATGGGAGCTATAGCAAAACGTTGACCTATATACCCCATATTCAATTCCAACCAGTAAAGAAAGTCTTAAAGTCGGGCGGGACCGACTTTATGATACCCTACACCATTTTGCTAATTAAGTAGAGCTCCACATAACAATTAAAAGTTTTTATGGGAGAATTCAATCATACACCCTATGATTATAATTATAATTTAAAGTTCAAAGGCCTAAATATGACGAAGCATTTGTATCTTTTAAATTCGGAATTGTATTGCCCATTTGGTGCACAAATTATTTGAAATCGGATAAAGATATATATGGGAGCTTTATCTAAATCTGAACCGATCTCGATAAAATTTGGCAATTATATTTCTGAGCTGTATTTGATATATTTCCCTGAATATCGTTGTTACGGAGTGCATATTACGGTTGTGGGTAACAAATATAATCGGATGAATAATATATATGGAAGCTATAGCTATATCTGAACCGATCTTCACCAAATTTGACATACTAGCTTCTAGACTCAATTCGGTCGTAAGTGCCAAATTCCATCCCATTTGGACAAATATTAGACGTTTGGTGCGATCTCGATAAAATTTAGCAAATGTATTTCTGAGCTGTATTTGATAAATTTCCCCAAATATGATTGTTGCATAGTGCATATTACGACGGCGGTGGACAAAAATAACAAATCGGATGAACAATATATATGAGAGCTATAGCTGAACCGATTTCATATCAAATTTGGCATACATATTTTCAGGCCTAATTTGTATATGCAAAATTCCATACAATTCGGGCTGATATTACACGTTTGGTGCACAATAAAAGGCAAATCGGACGAAGATATATATGGGAGCTATATCTAAATTTTTACCGATTATCTCCAATTTCAATAGGGTTCGTCCTTGGGCCAAACAAAAGATCTTTGCAAAATTTCATCTGGATCGGGCAATAAATGCGACCTGTACTTTGTTTACAAAAATACATGGACAGACGGACGGACATGCATAAATCGACTCAGAATGTGATTCTATGCAGATTATCAAAAGGAAGAATGGGTCTATCTCGTTTCCTTCTGCCTGTTACAAACAAATGCACAAAGACATAATACCCTGACCACCTTGTGGTGTAGGGTATAAAAATCCCGCATACCAAACACACATCTGAGTAAAACTTTATCAACCCACTCGATTTCGTTCGGAGGCTAGCACTATAGACGGACATATAGACAGACCAACAGACATTTCTAAATCGACATAGACTTTTGTGCTGATCAACAATAGATGTACTCTGTGGGGTCTAAATGGTATATTTCGAGGTATTACAAATGGAATGACAAGCATAATATTTCATCCATACTATGGTACAGCGAGCCCAATTCACCGAGTCAATTTTTAGATATTTTTACGAAATTTTGCTTGAAAATCAATTCTTTGTCGGTTAGCCAATTTTAACTACGTCGGTGCTATGGTGGACGGTATAAAAATACACTTTCCGGGGCCCTTGTATAAAAATGGTAGCATTTATTCTAAAATATCACATATGTGTTCACATTTCTCAGTATCCAAAGGCGATATGTTTCCAATATGGTTACTACTGCCTGCTGGACCCACACTGCATGTAAATTTGACAACATTACGACGTTATGACCCGACGTCAAGTACTGCAAACATTTTTCATCAAGTGATTTATAAACACATTTTGCTTTCATTTCCATACAGCTCTAAGGCGTTTCAGTGACTCCTAGGCGCATGCATGGTCAAATCATGCTGTGAACATACCCCAGCAGCGGTGGCAGCCACATACTTTTCCAATGAAATTGAAATCAAGTTTATGCCGCCTTGGAGTTTTTGCAAATGCAACAACAAAGCCGGGCATATCCGTTTTAACAGCTTAGAGTCATGTAATTTCATTAAGTTTCCAAATCTTTGCTTTTTTTCATATCATTTGCTTTCTCTTTCTCTCCCACAAAATGAAAGAAATGGATTGAGTTGGAACGACTTGTTGTAAGTATTTTTATGTGGATGGCCTTCAAACGAAAATGAAAGTGATCGTCCATTGAGAAAAAGGGGCTGTTGGCATCAAATGATGATAATTAAGTTTTTTGTTGTTTTTGTAGTTTTTTCTTCTGCGTCCTCTTTGCATGGGCAGTTAGTTGACCACTTGGTGGAATTTGTTTTGCCTCAGCTTCTTTTGTTGTGGATTTTGATCATTAAGTTGTAATCGTAATTGTTGATCAGTGCTTGTGGGCAGTAGTGCAGGACAGTAATTTGTTGTTATAGCAGAAGATTAACTGTACATTGACCAGGGAGAATGGGAAAACAAGTGCAAAATGTGATTTGGGGGGATAGTGTTTTTAAAAAAGGAAATATAGATGGAGCCTTTAACAGATAGACTGTGGACAGATTTTACTATGGGCTAGTTTTTGATAGTGCTTTTTAAGCCACATATATAATGTTTTATAAATGACCTCTAGGGGAGGGAGTCTTTTATAGTCGAGCTCGAGCTAATGTCGAGTCGAGCTTATGTGCTCTTTTGTGAGAAGACTTCTTTCTTATGGCTAAAAAGATTTTCTTTTCATCTCTGAGAAGTTTTTCTGCTCTTCTCTGAGAAGTTTGTCTGCTCGTCTCGGAGAAGCTCTTCCACTCTTCTTTGAGAAGATGCCTTCTGTGACAAGACTTCTTGCTCATGGCTAAGAAAAATTTTCTTTCGTCTCTGAGAAATTTTTCTACTCTTCTCTGAGAAGATGTCTTTTGTGACAATACTACTTGCTCATGCCAAGAAGATTTTCATTTCGTCTTTGAGAAATTGTTTTGCACTTCTCTGATAAGTTTTTCTGCTCCTCTCGGAGAAGCCCTTCCACTCTTCTTTGAGAAGATGTCTTCTGTGACAAAACTTCTTCCTCTTGGCTAAGAAAATGTTATTTTCTTCTCTCAGAAGTTTTTCTACTCTTCTCTTAAAAGCTGCTCCATTCTTCTTTGAGAAGATGTGCTCTTTTTTGAAAAGATTTCTTTCTCGTGGCTAAGAAAATTTTCGTTTCTTCTCCGAGAAGTTTTTCTACTCTTATCTTAAAAGCCCTTCCACTCTTCTTTGAAAAGATGTGCTCTTTTGTGAAAAGACCTCTTTCTCATGGCTAAGACTTCTCTTAAAAGTTTTTCCTCTCTTCTCTGATAAGATTTTCTGATCTTCTCTGAGAACCCCTTCCACTCTTCTTGGGAAAGATGTACTCTTTTCTGACGAGACTTCTTGCTCATGGCTAAGAAGATTCTCTTTTAATTTCTGAGTTGTTTTTCTGCAATTCTCCGAGAGGAGATATGACAAGATATATTTCTTGTAAATATAACAATTTTTTTTATTTTAAATTTTAACTCTTTTGCTTTTCATGCAAAGAAAAGGTCATAAGCGCAGATGAAAACAAATCGATTATGAAAAAATTACGATATACATGTTAGCGTATTACGAGCGCAAGAAATCTAATTATAAACGCTTAACAAATTCACTTTCACGCTTTGTTAATCAATCTAAGCAATTAAAAAATTGTTCAAGTCGATGGCATTCAAAATGGAAAATCATGGCAATTCTCATAGACAATTAACATACAAAAACGCAGAAAAACCCAAGCGGTGGTCTAGATCGCGTTATTACAAAACGTGACTTCCTGTTCGACACTTCTCCCCCTTGCCTGTGAATCATTTCTTTTAACATTCTTTTTTCATTACTTTCCAGGCTTTGCAATGATGACGAGACACCTGCAATTCTTGTGTGCCACCACTTGTTTATGGCTCTTGGCCACGGCCCAACAACCCTCTTCGTTCGACAAATGGTCACGTCAACTGGAGGCTGCCAGTCCGGCAGTATCGGATAGTTTCGATTGGGTGCCATTGTCTCAGTCGGCGGATAGTACACCAGAAACCAAGGATCGTTCGGCCAATGGTCGTGTTCTCACCTATTCCCAATCCTTCCCGCCCAGTTCGAAATTTAGTGAATTGTCAAAGGGTCTTCCATTTGGCAGTTCCCCGCAATCGGCAAAACCCACACCATTTGATTTTCCCTTCCAATTCCAATCGTTTGGCAATGCTCCCCAGACCCAATCGCTGAGACAACCTAGCTCACCGCTAAAGGCTCAAGATCCAACCTCGCAATCGTTTTTCAAATTTGAAATGCCTTTCAATCAACAGAGTGCCCGTCCCGCCCAATTGGCTGCCCCTGGTGTAAATACTGGCTATCAAATTTCTCATGCTTTTGGAGGTGGCGCCCAAGCAACTTTGTTCAGTTCACCGCTGTTCAATCAACAACCTGCCTTCCCACCAGAATTCCACCCAGTGCCTCAGAAACCCTTTAGCCAGCAATTACAACAGCCACAGAAGCCTTCCTTCCTGCAGCCGAATGTTATTGAGGATTCTTTGTCGTTGAAGAATTTCTTTAAGGAAAACAAACCATTGCCCACACCATCATCATCGCTCCAGGCGGTTACACCTCAAGTTTTCCCCACCAATCCACCGGCCGAATCGTCTTTCCCCCTGAGAAATAATTTCAACAATTTACCATCGGCCTCGGGACCAGCTGGTCCTCAAGACTCTCAGTTCCTGTATGTGCCCTACAATGATGTTTTCAATTTCCCCGCTCCCCAGGCCCAACCTTCGGTACAGCAACAACAACAACCACAACAGCCACAAAATCCTTTTGAACAAAATACCAAATTCGGTTCTAATCTTCCCACCGTAAACCCCTATCAAATAAATCAGTTCTATACTCCAGATCCCATTGCTCCTGCTCAGCCTCAGAATAATTTGTTTGCCATTACAACGACCACTATTAAGCCCCAAACTACCTCCCTGAAACCCTCCAACATTTTCCAGAGCTATGTTAGTCCACAATTCACCACCCCGGCCCCGAAACCCAAACCAAAGGCCCATCAACCGGCCTTGGCCATGTTCCTTTACCGCAGCTCGGCCAGACCCACCCAAACCGATGTGGTTGAAGCCTTGGCCTCAGCCAAGAATATTGCCGTCATTGATGCTCCCTCTCAAAATACTCCCGATATCTTTGTTGGACCCGCCGGTATGCCCACTCCTGGTGGCTTCACCAAATTCGATTTGCCCTATTTGTCGCAACTACAAAGTGGAGGTCAGGACATCAATGACATACCCTACTTTGTGGCTCCATTGAGTTATCGTACACCTGGAGGCTTCCACAAGATCTTGTTGCCAGAGCCCCATGTAGGTTCGATTGTGGTCAACTTGGCCAAGCAACGACCTCCAACCTCCGCCCAGCCCCAGCAAACAAATGTCTACTATCAACCCCAGTTGCAAGATGTTCCTGCCACAACTCAACGTCCTCAGACCACCACCCAAGCCAATGTGTACTATCAACCCCAATTGCAGGAGGTTCAAACTTCGACTCATCGTCCACGTCAAAGAGTGAAGGGCAATGCCAATCGTGGCAACAAATATAGCTATTATCTGGATCAAGATGCCATACAAGAAGTTTCCTCACCACAAATCACCCAAAAGGAACGGCCCAAAAAGAAACGTCCCCAGACCTCGGTGAAGGTGGAACAGAACGGTTTCAATCAGCAGTTGAGTAATCCCTATGCCCAATTCAATCCCATACCCAATCAAATTACCGGCGATGATTACTACAAGGTTGCCACCAAACCAAGCACCACATCGTCGACAAGCACCACCACTACCACAACTTCTACTACCTCTACCACGGCCGCTCCACAGACATACTTTACATACAATACTCAGGCTCAGGTTGAATTCCCCGGATCCAGTGGCCATTTGTATCACAATGTTAATCAACCCGCTCCCCAGGAAGAGAACCCCCGTCTAACAACCAGACCTACGTTGGGCGCCACCACCGCTGAGGAAGAATATCGCATGAAACAATACTACAAACAACAAGATGCCATACGTAATCGTCCTAAGCTTGTGGCCCAAACCAACTCACCTTACGACCAAGTCCAATACACCCCCGTCAGCTTGGAATATGAAGTTTCGCCCAAGACCACCACCGTTAAGCCACGTATTACCTTCTTTAGTCCCACAGTGGGTCCTGCAACTGAGGAAGACTTCAATACCCTGCCACCAAGACAACAAGTTGCCAACAATAACAACAACAATTTGCCTGCCAATCATCGTCCTTCCTATGTGCAAAATGAGATTACCGACAGTCCTGTGGAATATGAACCCAATCCATATCAACTACCCTCGGAATTGCCTTCATTGACACCCAGCTTGCCTGGTTTGGTAAACAATCTCAAGGATATGAAACAACAGCAACAACAACAACAACAGAACGCCAATGAAGAACAGACAACGGTAACACCCAGTGTGGAGCAGGAAACCACCACAAGGCCCACACGTCGTCCCATACATCGAGTGAGAAAACCGACCAAGGCCAGCAACACTGTGGACAACAATGAAAACTCGGATACTGAAACCTTTACCCGCAGGCCATTGAATCGTGTACGAAGACCATTTGGTTCGCGCAACACCATCGGCTCCGCCATTAACACCAATTTGGATAGTAGCAACAACAATAGAAATAATGACGATAATGATGCAGCCACCACTAGCACAACGAGACGTCCCTCTGGGTCCCGCAACCCCTTGGTACGCAATCCCAATCGCATACGCTATCAACCCACGCCCGAGGAACGACAAACCCTGAGAATCAAACAGAAAAAGAAGTATGGCGGCTCCTCCAAAGTTGTGGAACAAACCGAAGATTTGGACTATCAGCGTGATGTGTTGAAACAAAATTACCCCGTCATCAGACCAGCTGGTGGACGTACACCCAGCAGTCCCACTGCCAGACCCAGTTCATATGACATTACCACCACCGAAGCACCCACATCGGAAACGCAACAAGTCTACACCGTGACACCCAGCAATCACATTGACAACGAACAGGTCTTCCCCGCAGGACTCTTGGAACCCATGCAAATCGCTCAGCAGTACAATCAATATAAGGATAATTATGGCCCTGGTTATTTCCCCAATCAAGAGGATTTGAATCCAACGGAACCGGTGCGGAATGAAATAAATCCAGTTTATACCACATATCCAACCACAACACCGGCACCGGCACCGGCCACTGAACCGCCAACCACAACGACAACCACGACCACAACTACGACAACAACCACAACTGAGGCTCCAGTCGTCACGACAACAAGACGTTCGCCATTTGTTCGCAGAAATTATCCTAGGACTAGGCCAACAACCACTGAGGCACCAACGACGACAACACCCACACCCGAGGAGAGACCATCGGTAAGTTGAGACAGAATGTCTTTCCATGGGTTTTATACCTACCACAGGGCTTCTATGGAAAGAGATGCACAGAGATCTTTTATAAAACGAATACCTTCCACAGATCTTTCAATGAAAAAGGTCATCGCGCACCTTTGCAATCGAAGACCTTCCACAGGCCTTTTTTAGGCAGAGAAGATTGGCTGCAGCTCTTTAGTGGCGAGAAGACTAATTGCAGCTCTTCCATGGCCAGGAGACCCCCTGCCGCTCTACTATGGCTACGCAATTCTTTTTTGCCTAGCAGACCTTTTGCAGCTCTTCGAGGGCTAGAGAACCTTCTGCAGCTCTTCTAGGGCTAGGGGACCATCTGCTGCTCTTCTAAGGGTGGAGGAAGTCCTGCAGGTCTACTATTACACTTTCTGGATCTCTTCTGGGGCTAGAAGACCTTCTACAGCTCTTCTATAGCTAAAAACCTCCTGTCGCTCTTCAATAGCTAGAAAACCTTCTGCAACTATAAGACCTCTTGTCGCTCTTCTGTGGCTATAATATCTTATGCAGTTATTCTATAGCTACCTGCTCCAGCTCTTCTAGCTATTTCTAGCTATAGTTCTTCTATAGCTTGAAGACCTTCTGCAGTTCTTCTCTATCTATAAGTCCTTCTGCGTCTATTCTATAGCTAAAAGACCTGCTGGCGTTCTTTTTTTGGCTGCAAAATATACTGCAGATTTTCTGCAGATTTCCTTTCGCTCTTCTATAGCTAGAAAACCTTCTGCAGCCCTTCTATAGAAGACCTTCTGCAGCTCTTCTATTTCTAGCTATAGTTCTTCTACAGCTAGAAGATCTTCTGCAGCTCTTCTTTATCTATAAGTCCTTTTGCCGATTTTCTATAGTTAAAAAATTTATGCAGCTCTTCTATAGCTCCTACCGCTCTTCTATAGCGAGAATACCTCCTATCGCTTTTCTATAGTTAGAATACCTCCTGTCACTCTTCTATAGCTAGAAAATCCCCTTGTCGCTCTTCTACAGCTAAAAGATAACCGGTCGCTCGTCTATAGCTAGAAGATCTCCTGCCACTCTTCTATAGCTAGAAGACCTCCTTCCTCTCTTTTGCCTTCATCGTCAATTTTAACCTCGTTCCCCTTTCAGATCCGCAATCGTTTGCCTCCCCGCAAGGTAATAAGAGTGCGCACCCGTACCCGTCGCCCACAGCACCCCGCCTCAACATCGGCCGCTCCCGAAGAAGAAAATCAAGCTACCGAGGAACCCAGACAAAATTATCGTAAATTGAATCGTTTCAATCAGGATCTCTATGACAATGAGGTTAGTATTCCACAACCCCTTTCTAAGTAAATTGCTATGAAATGACGTCCATGTTCTCCCACAGCAGACCCCCAGACGTCGTTATAAGAATAAATTCCAATTGGAGGGACAAGAATCCCAGTGGTCACCGGCGGTTAAGGTTGGACCCACAAACAACTTTAAACCCATTAATCCCAAAACACACAACAGCAATCGCCACCGGTTTGAAGATGAACCTGAAATTGTAACGGTGGGACCTAATGGTGAGGGTCAGGACAACTATGAGGTCAAAGTCTCGGCCAATTTGGCACCAACTGGCAGCAGTGGTGTGCAAATGAAGGAACCAAATTTGAAGTAGGTCCAAGGATTACCAATCTCTTTATTTTGTTTAATTTATATATTTCGTTCGTTTTTGTCGTAGACCCGAAAAATCCTTTGCTGAACTTCTGGAAGAAGTCATGGGAAAGGCAACCGAAGATAAGACTGTCGAAAGCACCACAGCATCCTCTGCCACCTCGACAGATGGTACCTATTTCGATGCCCAAAAGACAACCATTGCAAATCGTTTAAATCGCCGTGGCAAATGGAAGAAGACCCGTGTTGTGGCCACATCCAATACGAATGGCGAAAGCTTCGAAACTGCCGAATCTCAAAGTCTGGGCTCACAACTGTACAACACTCTGCACACCAAAGACAAGGCCAGTGTGGCTATGGTTAAGGATTGGAAGACAACTACCCCCATGACGACGGCAGCTGAAATTAATGCCATGTACACTTCCGATACCACCACACCCATGCCAATGGGTTCCATGGAGGATGAATATGCCTTGACAACCACAAAACCAGAAGTGGGTACCACATTTGCCCCCACCATGCCAATGAACTCGCCCGTCGATGATATGGCTGGTATGATGACAGAGAAGACCATCAACAATGGCGGCGAAGAGGAAAGCGCCACGCGTCGCATGGATGATACAGCCATGGAGGAGGATTTAGAAATTCAGCCAAGTCTCTTCTCGGAGGTGAAGAAACAATTACATGAACTCTTCTCAATTGAGGATACCGGGGATGATACGGCAGTAACTGCAGCCTTGGCCGCGGTGGGTAAACGCCGTCAGGAATACACGAATATCAAGAGACCCAAGGTGGAGACCACAACATTTGCGCCACAGCCGGATTTCACCGAACCCATGTCGCCAGAGGATAAAGTTGCCTTCCATCGAGAGCTAATGAAACATGTGGTGTACGCCACATCGGCGCCGGCCAAGGAAGAGGAGCAGACATCCGAGGCGGAAATCTGCTATAGAGGGCGCTGCATAAAATCCGATGATTTGCCAGCGAATCATAAATTAAATTAATTTGGATTTTCGGCGTGTGTGTTAATTAGGTTAACTAGGACTAACTAAAAAATCCCTCGACTTTTCCTTTATCCCCACTTCCCCTAGTCTCTCTTCAATACAAAAATTACGCTTTGCCTCTTACTTTCTTTTCCCAAAAAAAATACATCAAGTCATACTTAAGTCCAGTTTCTCATCTTCTTATCTAGCTATTTATTCTCCTCCCCCTTCCCCTCTCCATTTTATAATTTTCGATATTTTGTAATTATATTTTTAGTTTTAATTTATAACAAAAATCAGAACAAACAACTTTAAAACGATTTTCATGTAATTAATTATTTTAATTTAATTCCATATCCCCATTGTAAACCCCCTTCTGTCTTACCTTCCACTAACGAGGACCAATTGAAATGTTCTCTTTCAAACCGCCTCTTTAGTGAAAGATGTGAACGAAGTTTTATTTTTTCGTTTCTTTGGGTCTGTAACACAAGTTAAACAAAATTTTCTACAGATATTGGATATTATACTCTTAAGTTTTAGTATTATTTATTTTTTAAGTACCTTTTTTTGTAATATAAAACAAACAACAACAACAAATAATAATAATAATAATTAATAATTTGTACGATATACAGAATAAACAATTAATTATAAAAAAATTATTTTAAATAAATAAATAAAAAAATTTAAAAAAAATCAATTTTTAAAATTTATGCAGACACAGAACTTATGCATGAGTTCATGCCAGAGGTCCATAATATTTTGGATTAGGAATACGAATTCGATGAAAGATTTTATATTTATAACAAGTAAAAACAGCAGCTAAACTCGGCTGGACCGAACTTTTTATACCCTCCACCATTTAAAAGGAACTTGAAAAATCTCAAAAAAACAAACCATCGAAAAATACCGCTTAAATTAAAATCGTTATATGGGGGCTATACAAAGACGTGGACCTGCATATGTAATTTTCATAGGCTGTAATGTCCATTAAGGTCTTAAAATACAAAATTTGGGAGGTATCGTTATATGGAGGTTATACGAAAACGTTAACCTGCATAAGAAATTTTTTGTCATAAGCTGTTATACCGATTTTGAACTTCAAAAACGAAATTTGAAACAATTCCGGTGATTAATGTCGCTAATATCATTAAATACCGAATATCGGGAGGTATCGTTATACCGGGGGTATATGAAGTCGTGGGTCTGCATATGTAATAAAAAACAAACCATCGAAAAATACAACTTAAATTAAAACCGTTATATGGGGCTATACAAAGACGTGGACCTGCATATGTAATTGTCACAGGCTGTAGTGCCCATTAAGGCTTCAAATACGAGATGTCAAACAATTCCGGTGAAAAATGTCGCTAAATTCATTAAATACCGAATATCGGGAGATATCGTTATATGGGGATTATACGAAAACGTTGACCTGCATAAGACATTTTTTGTCATTAGCTGTTTTACCGATTTTGAACTTCAAATACGAAATTTTAAACAACTCCGATGAATAATGTCGCTAAAATCGTAAAATACCGAATATCGAGAGATATCGTTAGTTGGGTGCCATGTGGAGACGTTGCCCTGCATATGTAATTCTTTGTCATAGGCTGTAGTACCCATTAAGATCTTTAAATATAAAATTTGAAACAATTCCGGTAAATATTGTCGCTAAAATCAATAAATACAGAATATCGGAAGATCTCGTTATACCGGGGCTATACGAAGTCGTAGGCCTGCATATGTATATGTTTTGTCAGAGACTTCAGTGCTAATTAAGATCTTCAAACACAAAATTTGAAACAAGTCCGGTGAATAATACCGCTAAAATCATCAAAAAAACCTTGAGATACCCCTATATGGGGGCTATACGAAAACGTGGACAGACAAGGCCCATTTACTAACTTAACCTGCCTACTGGCAAAATGCACATGTTTGCAAAAATTTAAACAGACAAACATCGCCAAATCGACTTACAATTTTACGTTGATAAAAACCCAAATGGTCTGCCTTGCCAGCGAATGACTTTAGTCAATTTATAAATGATAATGAATCTATGCCTGAGAATAACTTTAGGGTTTCTATCTCCCAATAGCCTATGTCTTTTCTTAGATAAGATGAGGCATGTGCAAAGTAGATGTTCAATCGTCTCTATCTCTTCTTCATCTTCACATAGTCGATAGTAGTCAGGAACACAGTTCTCCCATATTGTGATATCTGATACGGCAGCGACCAGTCAATATGCCAACCAAGGTTCTTTGATCAGATCTACTAAATGATAGAAGGGAGCTTGATCTTCTCCTCGAGATTACCGGCCAGATAGCCTTATCAACTCATGTTTACTATTACATCATCCTAGTCCAAGGAACACTTCATAGAGACCAACGCCCTTCTGATGAGTGTTTGGACTGTTTCGGAAGGATGCCCACCTTTTTGAATGCGCTGTAGATGCATTCCCCTTTGTCATACTGCATCTTCGCCAATAAGTTGCCGCTGTAGTTGACAATGTTTCCGGATGGAGACATAGCCTTCGTTGCTTTTACGTGGTCGGAGTCGATTTAATCTGCTTGGTATTGTACCCTATCCCAGTATTGACTTCTGGTTTAATAAAAATTGGCATTGGACGTCGAGCACCAACTCTTTTGGAACTGAGAAGTATTTGTCGATGCTCCTAAAATCATCGCCGAGGCCATTCTCATGTATGTTTTCGTTTGACGGCATTCATACTTATTGGTGGACTACATCGGTTACTGTATTATTTTGAATGCTACTCAAACCTGCCTAATACGGATCTTGATCTAAAGGCTCTCTCTTCCTTCCTTCCCACCTTCCTCTCTAGATTATGAAGTTGCTTCCTCACACGCTTGTTTGGGAGTTCCATACACATATAATAGTTTGGAAGACTCCTCTAATTAAAGCATAAGAGAAGTAGATGAAGGATCTTCCCGTACGTCAGCATAAACATTTGCTTTGCAGTACTTGTTTGTGTATAACCGTGGTTGGTTGTACAGTAGATTCACCTTAATTTACTGTACCCTCGCCATAAGAGTCGGTTTATTCCTGTGGGTAGCTGATTTAATGCTCGACTGGTTGTATCTTCTTAAGAAGCGTTTCTATTTGGAGATATTTTCTAAAAAGAGATTACCTTAAAAATGAGAACAATTTCAAATCAGCAGCAAATACCTTAGATAGATCCTTTTCTTCTTCGATGAATCAATTCGAATTGTTATCTTAATTTAAAATTGCTTTATTGATGGATTCTGCCTCAGCAACGGTGTTTTATCGGCTTCTACCGACTTTTCAAAATCATCGGTAATCCTCGGTCCACATCGCCTTCCACGATTTCCATTCTATCTTGCCATGGAAACATTGCCGTTCAGATCATCTTCTTAAAAAGTTTCCAAAATTACTTTGAAATCAAAATCATTTGACAATTCACAATAAAATTGGACAAAGCATTGTTAAAATTGTCATGTTTCGTGTGAATTTAATTCACATTTGCATTTTATTTGTATATTCATTGTAATTATATCATAAAATCACATTAAAAATGTATTTAATTGTTGTACGCGTTAAGTTTCACATCATTGAGATAACAATTCACATTCAGTTAAGTTATTCGTAAAAATAAAAATTTTTAAGCATCAAAAATAATGCTAGGCATATTATGTAGAATACATATGTACATTGAATGGATAAATAATAATGTATATATAGCTATATAATTATATAAGTTATTTATGTTTCTTTAAAAGCATTTGGGGACAGAGAGTCATATAAACATACACATACATATATGTAGGAAATCATATGATAAATTCAAAAACATTAACTTAGTAGCACACAACTCTACCACTGTTCTAGGTAGAGCTTGGTTGTAAGGGATCTGTTTCCGAGGGTTGAACATCCACATCCACAGAAGGTCGACGAGAACTGGGGCGACTCAATGGCTGGGGGAAATTCCAAGCTCTGGGTGAGGTACGACCAAATATGATAAATAACAAATTTCCAAAGAAATAAAATGCAGCAGTAATATAGAATACAATACGCCATTGCAAGGGGTTGGTCTAAAATAAAAATTTTAAATTAAGATATTTTCTTTTTACAAAATTTATGAAACGTACCTCATCTGTAACAATTAATCCCACTGTGAGTGGGGCAATAATACTCATAAAATTCGCAGCGCAGTTTGTAATGCCCATTAAAGTTCCAGCAAAGTTTGGCGATAAATCAATGTGGTTTACTTGGAAACCCAAATACGTGGCAGCATTTGATCCAACCGCCAATGTCAGTAGAGCTATGGCCAAGGCTGTACTCTCACCGGTTGTAATATAACCCAAACCAATCAAAGCTGTCATGGGTATCCACATTCCCAGGGTGTTGAAGAGTTTTCGTGAAAAGGCTAAAGGCATAACACTGTTACGATTCATAATGTCCGCTATAAAAATGAAACCATATGATAACAATGTCATGGCCAAATATGGTAGAGCAGATAGAGGTCCATTGTGACGTATATCCAAACCGAGAATATTTTTCAAAAATGTTGGTATTTCCGTTAGTAAAGTCCAGAAGCCCCAGTTATTGGCACAGTGGACAATTAACAAAGTCCAAAACGGGAAGGAGGATAATATTTTACACCAAGGCGTTTTCATATTGGCCACCTCAATGCGGCCTGCATCCGATGGCCGTCGGCCTTGACTGGAACTTTCAATATAACGTTTTTCTTGTGGTGTTATGCTAGGGTGATCTGCCGGTGTACTGGAACTGTAATAATACCATACTAAACACCACACCAAGCCAGCCAAACCGGACACATAAAAAATGCTGGGCCAACCCATCCATGATGATGCAATAAAACCACTAACCGACAGCATTATAACCGTACCGAATTGAGCTCCTGAATAGCAATAGCTGACCAAACGGCCACGTTCTTCGGCTGGTGCCCATTTGGAGAGAAAAGTATGCGTTGAGGGGAAAATCATTCCCTGGCAAAGACCTTGAACCGAACGTAGAGCCAAGAGTAGCGGCCAATCGCCAATTTCTGCAGCAAATGGTGTGAGAATTGCCAAAATCGAACAGAATAGCACACCAAAGAAAAATGTAAATTTAGCACCATATTTATGCGATAGATAACCGCCAGGAACTTGTGTTACAACATAGCCCCAAAAGAAGCTACTCAAGAGATACGATTTCACACCTTCATCCCAATCGAATTCCTGTGAAAGGGAAAAGAAAATATTAACATTATTTAAGAGGTATAAATGGAGAAAAAAATGTGAAAGGAAATAAGGAAAGATTTTATTGAAATAAGTCGCGAAAAACAATTCTGAAAAGAAAGTAGATGGGAACGTTTCTTTCAACTGGATGTAATACAATAATTTATGTTTTTTACCGTGGAAATCATGCTAATCGTACTATTAAAAACAGAACTTTGAAATATTGCACATGCATTGTTCCTAGGATGCCTCTTATCGAAAATGAAATACAACGGCCAACATTTAGGATTTTCGGTATTTGGGAGATTTCTGCTCCAATTGCCACATCAGTTGTAAATTGATATTTCAAGTGATCTGTTGTATATTTTCTTTTTTTTTTTTTTTTTGGTCTAGTGGTTTATGTCCCAATTTCCATTCAAATCATCGATCAATCAATTTAACATTTCGGCTTCCCTGTGGGAAAATTTATTCCTCGTAAAAATTGTTTACTAAGGTCCATTTTTTAATATTGGTCCCCTATAGAGATATCTCCTAGCTTCCACAATTTTTAAGAAAGAATAAGAATAATCTTTTCCACGACGAGATATCGTGCCATTCAAATCTACAGGTCAGTTGAAGAATAACTTCTAGTTCTGCTTCAATTAATGAAGGCAGATCGTGAATTGATTTTGAGGGCTTTAGTATTACTGAATGAACTGAACGAATAAATAAATTTGTTCTCTGTTTGAACAGAGGCAGTGCAAATATTTGGCCGTTTAAGTTTCTTCCTAAAAGTCATGGCTCTTATAATACCTGAATGATTCCACACCAAAAGGTTAGGACAGATTTCGCCATGGAGATGAACGACCTTGTTATCTCGAGATAGACTTTGCTACCTCTTTCAATTTTGTTAGATCTTCCCGGAGCTATTTTTGCACATCAACCGGAAGAAATAACAACAAATCTACCACGACGGATATATCCGTCATATATAATATCCTCCGATTTGAGCAAGTGCATTTTATTCTCCAAATAACACAGAGCGCCAGAGCGGTGATAATAGTTTCATATGTAGCTGAAGCTCCAATTGATATTTAAGCTTTCCCAAGACTGCCCTATTAAACATTGATATTCTTTGTACAAAAGCCATATAAAGTCTAGAAATACCGTTACACATCGACGTTAACCGGCAAGCTCTGTCAGGGCGAGGAGGAAACCGAGACGGTAGTGCACTTACTCAGCCACTGTCCCACTCTTTATGGAGCCAGACAGAGGCTACTGGGTAAACAAATTCTGCCCACATTGTCCTCTTTTTTTTTTTGAAACCGAGGCAGCAGGTATGCTTCAACTAGCCAGAAGATTAAAATGCCCAAAAAGACAACACACTGATCACAACGTGAATACACTCTCACACTCGTCCTTCTAATTTTTCTCTTCTGTTCTATTTTCATATTTTCCCTTTACTCTACCTTAAACTTTTCTCCAAACAGGTTGAACACAATGGACCAGCAGGTAACCGAGTGGAGTGGTTGTTCAGACAACCACGTATCCTTTAACCTAACCTAACATCGGCGACTGCATCTGAAAGAATCTATGCAGGCCGGAATGATAGACTTTCTGATCTAGAGGATAACTATTTTATCGTTGAATAATGACCACTACATAATAGTTTGGATGACAGGGAAGAAACTGGATTCTCAGTTGCTATTCGCTTTCTATGCCGTTTGGACTTCTTGTTCTGGAATCGTAGGTACGACTGGCGTCCACACATATTCTTCAGTTTCGGCCAACCGCTGCCACCTTAAAATATATATGTTTATGTCTCTTTAATATCCAGTAGATATTGTTGGAAGGTCTCTCCTGCAAGACTAAGCTTCACAAAACAATTAGCAGTTTCAGCTTTTGGAAAATTATCTATATTTTTAACAATATTACGACTTGTTACCATAAACTTCGTATAATATCTATAACCCAATTGTTACTTCCTGTCATGTTGAGATAAAAAATGTCTGTTTCTAGGCAGGTATTTGCTTCATAAAATCGAATCCCTTAATATAGACTTCCTTTTACGAGCAATTCAGTGTTGTTAATTTCATTAAAACTCTAAAATTGTATTTCTCAATATAGACATATTTTTAGCTTTCGTTTTTGATTTACGAACCTCTTCAAAGCATTAGGGGCCTGTCTTCTTCTGCCTCTGATAAAAAGAATGTGCATAATTACCATTTTCACACTAAGTATGAGTAAGAACATTAATTGATAATAAATAGCGTATGATCACCAAGTGAAGTACCCTTATCAGAACTTCATTTCAGCAATAATAACAATAACACCCCATTGTGACGTAGTCATCCCAAAAAACAGATAAAAATTTATCAACATTTGTTCCACTTCCATTACAATCCATGCCAAGTTTACACAAATGTTTTGTATAAACCATATTCTTTTCTATTGATGAAAGATACCATATGGAATTGAAGGCATTGATTCATCCAAATATTTATATTCACTAAAATCGAACAATACCAACCTCAAAGTCAGGATTTGTGGCATTTTTATCAGTCATTGCCACAATGGCCACGGAAAGATTTACTCGCAATGCATAGGCTACGGCCAAGCCACAGAATGCCAGAATACATTGAATATGACGCACACCAAATCGGGGACCTTGAACGCCAAGCAACACGAACAAAGAAAGTTGATGAATTAGATTTAGATTGGAGCTTAAGTTTTTAATTTCATCCAACTTACCTTGTGTTGAATTGATCTGTTGATAGCCATTATGCTGGACACAGGGACAGCAAAGTACCATATTCCAGGTTTTAGGGAACTCCTCCACAAAGTTTGGGTTAAAAAAACGATAAAAACAAAACACAAAGCAAACCGAAATCTATTACTATTACTGCTCTTCTATGGCCATATCTTTTTAGCACTTTTCTGTTAAATGCCCACTTTAAATATTGGGTTTTGTATTGACAACGAAGAAGATAATGAAATTACTAGCCCCACAAAACAAAATATTATTGATGACGCGAAAAGTTTGGACAGCAACAAACAATAACAACGAAGAAGATAATGAAATTCCCCCAACAAAATATTATTGAGAGAGAATAGAGAGCGAATGTGTGCATGGGAAACAAAAATGAAATACGTTCCCAACTAACCGAAAATAAAGGCCAAGAAAGAATAATTGATAAAAATAAACAGAAAGCAAAATCCCCGAGGGACCTCTGTTGAATGAGTGTAATGCATAACCCGCATAACCCGAGGGACCTCTGTTGTTTACGAATGAGACATGAGGAACACATCAACTAAAAGAGCGCCGACTAGAAAATGCAGAGATGGATATTCTCATTTGAAATGACTTTACTGCTTTTTTTGACTTGTACTGTCAAAGATATTAGTCCTTCATTATACGATACAACACAAAACAAGTTATCAAATGGGTAAATGGGAGTGAGAGTGCTTACCAGCGATGGAAAGTTTAAAGTTTATATGGTTTTGTTAACTCAAAACTTAGTGAAATTTTTCTTAAAAATTGTTAATCACTGTGAAATAATGCAGGGTAGGTCATAGCTTTCTACTCGTTTTAATTTTTATGACTTATTTCTTTAAAGTAATGAAATGAAATGAGAGTTTAAAAATTATGTTATTGTACAGATGGGAGTTAAATTAGGAAAAATTTCACTTTTTAAGTGGAACTCTCTTCTAAATAGTGGCTGCTAAATTCTGAATTCATAGCGTTTTTAATTTCAGAACGACTGTCTTGTTAAAATTATTCGACATTTTTAAATTAATGCAAAATTAATACAAACATTTTTAAATGGTGTTAGGTCTTCCGTAAAGAGAAATTGGGAATGTTTCTAAAAAATAACGCTATTCATTCAATTTTTGCTAAAGAGTTATCAACAGAAAACTTAATGTGTTATGCATTTACGATTTTCCACACCTTATACAAAGTTTGTGAGAGTCGTTAAGAAAGAAAAGAGAGCGAATGTGTGCATTGTTTATGGACAACAACAAACGTGCTTTAAATCAACAAGTAATTTAAATATAATTTTCGTGTCAGAAATGTTAAGTTTTTCTTTTTTTAAGTTTCTTGATTTGATTTTTGGCATATCAATTTTGAATTCCTATTGCAGTAGTGTTCTCTCGAATTCCGCTTTTGATTAATATTCGCCATTTTTATTTTCACCAAAGGCTTTGCTTTAGTCTGGCAATGCCATCAAGTTAAATTGTCAATACTTTTTTAGACAACTGTGAAAATTAAACGTATAATTAGTTTTAACGGGTAAACACTTTTCAAAATAAAAATTGCTATAAAATAACTAAATTAAAACCATAAATTAGAGTATGCTATGGAAAGTCAATGTTAAACAATTTACAGGGCCAAATGGAAGAAAATAAAACTATTTACACATAGTTGTAAAAGAGTCTTCAACTAATCGGTATAATAATAGAGACATCAAACAAGAACAGTATTGGTATTTTCCTGAACTGCAAGAATGTAAAAATGTTTACAACGTTAAAAATGTTATAACGGAAAATATTGAAAATTGTAAATTTTTTAAGGTTCTGGAAGAGACCATATATTTATGCTCGACAAATCACTGTGTTACATAGTATTATCCCAGCAAAATTAATCGCTACAAATCGGATAACCAATCTATTATTTTAACAAGAATATGTCGCATGAAATGCGTATTTATTTAATGGTGAAACAATGTCGATTAAACAAGTATTTCTTAAACGACTTTCAGTGACGATTTGTTTTGCTCAGAGATGAACTCTGGCAGAAGTTATCTTAGGTCGTTCATTCATTTTTTTTAAATAATTTTTCCCATTCAAAGTGTGCGCGCTTTAAAATTTATTTGAAAAGGTTTTTGTTTGGTTTAAGGATGAACAGCTACACAGGACTAGGCATCTGCTTTACTCCGAGACCATTGGTCCATTGTGTTCATCATAGGAAGAATATAGTTGTTGGGCACAGGAGATATATATAAGCAGGAACGTGAGAAAAACAGGAGGTCCGGCTAGGCACGGAATGTCTAACAATATTAGATTTTGCAACAGAATGAAAAATAGGAACAAGGTCCTCAAGGCACTAGCCGGTAGCACTTGGAGTGCGACAAGGAGACTTTTGCACAGACTGTAGTTCCCATCACGAACTCTAAATACTTAATTTAAAACAATTCCCATAAATAGTGACCCTAAAATCATCAAAATACCGAGTATTGGGAGGTACCGTTATATGGGGGCTATAGGAAGGCGTGGACCTGCACAGACAAATTTCTGTCATAGGCTGTAGTATAAATTACGAACTTCAAATACCAAATTTGAAACCATTCCGATGAATAATGTGACTAAAATCACCAAAATACCTAATATCCGGTGGTACCATTATATGGAGGCTATACGAAGACGTGGAGCTGCACATACAATTTTCTGTCTAAGGCAGTAGTATCCATTTCGAACTTCAAATCATAAAGCAGGTGCATAAAGCATAAAGAATCAAGGTGCATTGGGTGTATTGGGAATGAAGAAGAGTGATAGAAAGTAAAAAAATTAAAAAAAGCGGCGTTTTTTTTTAGAAGACCTTGAAAAAATATTTTTAAAAAAATCCTCATTTATTGATGGAGCTTGAAAAATTTTTCTTAAAAAAATCAGGTTTTTTTGGTGGACCTTGAAAAAATATTTTTAAAAAATCCACGTTTTTTGGTGGACCTTGAAAAAATATTTTTAAAAAATCCACGTTTATTGGAGGTCCTCGTAAAAATATTTTTTAAAAAAACCCACGTTTTTTGGTGGACCTTGAAAAAATATTTTTAAAAAATCTACGTTTATTGGAGGTCCTCGTAAAAATATTTTAAAAAAATCAACGTTTATTGGAGGTCCTTGTAAAAATATTTTTAAAAAATCCACGTTCATAGCTGGTCCTTGAAAAATATTTTTAAAAAATTCACGTTTATTTGTGGACTTGAAAAAAATATATTTTTAAAAATCCACTTTTATTTGTGGACCTTGAAAAAATATTTTTTAAAAAATCCACGTTATTATTTTGTCCTTGAAAAAATATTTTTAAAAAATTCACGTTTATTTGTGGACTTTAAAAAAATATATTTTTAAAAATCCACTTTTATTTGTGGACCTTGAAAAAATATTTTTTAAAAAATCCACGTTATTATTTTGTCCTTGAAAAAATATTTTTAAAAAATCCACGTTAAAATTTTGTGCTTGAAAAAATATTTTAAAAAAATCCACATTAATATTTTGTCCGCATGTGATCTCTCGTATCTAGAAGTTCTGACAAATTTGGTGGAAGTCGATTCAGATTAAGATATAGCTACCATACATATTTATTTTCCTTCGGATTACAAATGCAAACCTATACTATGCATTTAGTAATGATAAATGATAATATCCCAATTGAAACTTACATTTGTTACCTAAATCTAGACCTAAATCTAGAACTTTGAAAGGTGGTGTAGGTTTTCTCTTCTTTCCATTTACTTATTTCAAAGTAAATGGAAAGAAAAGACAAATATATTTCAAAAATTACAAAAAAAAAAAACACACTATATTTTTTGTTGTCTTTTTTACTTTGTTCTTAAATAAAAATGAAATATTTTATTTCAAATTATTGGCACTTATAATGTTTTTGTTGTTGTTTCTTTTACAATTTTTGAATTTTACTCTTTTAGTTCAATCATTGTTTGTGTATTGTTTTCTTTCGGACACATAACGATATTTGTTTTTTTTTCCTGTTATGCGAATTTTGTTTCCATTTATTTATCGTTGATGTTCTTAAATTTAAACGAAAACAACTTGTTTTCGAACATTTACAATTATTAAGGCACATTGAAATTATTGCAGACGACAAATAGCGATTTGTGCTGGTGCAGAACATTAATTTCTGAGTTTATAATTTTTCATGTATGTATTTTTTAAATAATTTACTTAACAATTAAGGCACAAAGCTATATTTCTATGTGTAGAATAGATAGATATGTGTATATACATAAATTATACAATAATTAAAGTACAAAAGGCATATTTTGAAGTCAAAAAAATAGATACAGAATATAGATACAAAAATAGATACAAAACAGAATATTGATTTGATGAGCTGCTTGAATTTAAGAAGGATTTTTTTCTATTTGGTCTGTAGTTTAGTCTCAGTAACTTAAATACTGATATTTTTATTTATTGAGGTGGCAAAATAAAAACCAGAATTATATTTTATTTTTAATTAAAACTAATGGAAGCTCAATTTGTTTTCGGTGTTTTTTTTCTTGTATAAAAAATAAAATCAACAAATAATTTTTCTAAATGCCTTTTTTCAAATATCTCTGTGTTTAAAATCGTTTAGAATTTCTCTTAAAAAAATGCAAATCTATTCCGTAAAAAAATCATTTGCACAGGGGTATTTCACACATTGTTTACGCTTACAAATCTATGCAATGCTTATAAACTAAAAATATGCACGCAAATAAAATATAAAAAATGTATTTTTCCTTATTTTGTATTAATTTTTTTCAATAATTACTAAAAATTAATTAATTAAATTTCTGTTTTTTTCTTTAACTAGTCTTAAACATTAAGGAGGTCTTCAGTACGCTTATTCATATACAGGTATGATGGTAACTTGTGGCTGTTTGTGGGGCGATGATTCGGTTGCTGTGGCTTCTTGATGATGGTGTGGTTGATGGTGGGATTATTATAAATATGGAGTGATGATTTGGTACACTTCCTTGCACCAACAAGGGTTATTGATTGCCATTCTCCTTGATGACAGGTTTCACTTCACCACCACCATTCAGCAGCAGAGCAGGAGTTTCAGGATCAATAATAATGCTCAGGCGTTTGGCCAAGGCATCTTCGGGTGAGTTCCAACTTTGGACATTGGTCTTGCCCAGGATCACAAATAGCAAATTGCCAAAGAAATAGAAGCCAGCGGCAATGAAGAACACCATACGCCATTCATTGACATTTGTCTGGAAGAGAGAAAATAGGAATGTGAGTATTTAATGTATTTCCAATTTGAGAATTAAAATAATCTCCTCTTGATTGTCTACTTACCCCATCAGTCACCACCATACCCACACAAAGTGGGGCCAAGGCACTCATCACATTGGCCGAACCATTGGTGATACCCATCAAGGTACCCGCATAGTTGGGTGACAAATCAATGTGATTCACCTGGAAACCCAGATATGTGGCCGCACTAATACCCACAGTCAGTGTCAGCAATACCACCGCCAATGTGGCATGCTCTTTGGTAACATAGCCCAAGGCAATCAATGAAATCATAGGAATCCAATGACCAATTGAGTTAAAGAATTTCCGGCTAAAGGACAGTGAAATGCTTTGCTTCTTGCTCAACAGCTTCGAGAGGTAGATAAAGAAGAAGGACAGCACCAACATCACGGCATAGGGAAGGGATGACAGCAGGGCACTACTCTTTATATCAATACCCATGATATCCTTCATGTAGCTGGGGATTTGAGTCAGCAGTGTCCAGAAGCCCCACATGTGCGTGCAGTGCACCACAATCAACGAAATGAAGGGGGGTGAGGTGAAAATCTTCACCCATGGCGTTGGAGCATTGACCTTTGGTGTACTATCCACCTGGCCCAAGGAGTTCTCAATCATTTTCTTTTCCTCGGGTGAGATGCTTTTGTGTTCGGCCGGTGTACTGGCGGCAAAGAAGAACCAACATATGGCCCAAACAAAACCCATGGCTCCAGAGATGTAGAAAATTCCAGGCCAACCCAGGGCAGAGTCAGCAATGTAACCACTAACAGCCAACATAACAACGGTGCCAAATTGAGATCCCGAATAACAGAAGGTACCCAAGGTGCCACGTTCCTCAACCGGCGACCATTTGGCTAACATGGCATGCGTTGCAGGATGCACTGAACCCTGAAGTAATCCCTGAATGACACGCAAGGCAAACAACAATTGCCAGCCTCCAATGTCAGCTGCCAAGGGAGTTAAAATGGTCAAAACTGAGCATAGAGTTACACCAATCAGCAGCAATGTTTTGGCACCATATTTCTGGGCAATGTGACCACCGGGAATTTGTGTCACAATATAACCCCAAAAGAAACTGCTCAGCAGAAACGATCTGGTACTAGTGTCCCATTCATAGGTCTAAATTAAGGGAAAAACGTATTTAATTATATCATTTGATATCTTGAGAATATGGATTTCAAAACTTACCACAAAATCGCTGTCGGTTGAGTTGGTATCCGTCATGGCCACAATGGCCACACTTAAATTCACTCTCAGGGCATAGCACAGGGAGAGACAACAGAAGCACAAGAAACATTGCACATGCCGACTGCCGATAAGGGGTCCTGGAAGTAGAAGATAAATAGAGTTAATTAAAAATATGGTTAAGCCGTAGTAATAGACCAAGAAGTTTTGATTTTTTAGATTTTTTTTTTGTAAAAAATATCAATAAATAAAAGAAAATTGTACATGGTCTGGCGAGAATTTCAAGAGGATCCCATGTCACCGCCATGAATTGTTTACATGGTCTGCACCCTACCTGCCCTCCTTTCGAGAAGTTAACCATAATCGCTGATAAGGTGGATCACGGACATATGTATGTACGTATGTAATAGCATTTTGTTTTGTAACATTATTTCACCCGTCTTTTTTAATTGTTCTTATCAGCAACGTTAGTTGTTTGGCTTTGCCTTGTAAGTGTAAATTGAAAAAAATTATTTTGTTTTTCACTTTTCAGTTTCATGGGTTTATTCACTAGCGGAATTGCATACCCGTTGCGGTCGCTGGCAATTATATTTGTAAATTAATCATTTTTTGTTTTGCAAAAGAAAATAAAGAAGGCCAGATGGGAGTTTGTTGAAGGGCGGATGCAAGGCAATGGTAACCCGAGTTATATTTAGAACAATCGTTTTGAAATTTAAGCTACCATATCATATGTAAACAATATTCGAAGTTTAAAGGTCCTTTTTTTGGACAGAACTTTTTTAAATGGCCTTTTATGAGTAGAAGTGTTTTCTACTTTCTCTTTCGCGATAAAAGTTTTATTTTGTGGCTTATTAGCAATCTCTATAGATCACAGATTTTATAAAGGTCTCATATAGATCGGATATCTTTTAAAGCCTACATTTGAAGAGGTTTTTATAGATTGGGGACCTTTTGGAGGCCATAGACCAGAGACCTTTAAAGAATCCTCTGCCAACCGGAAATTTCTAAACTAAACTAAAAATGCACGATTGTTTTTTATTAATACTTTGCATTTCACAAAATTCCGTAGCAAAACTCCTCTACAATGAAACCCCTTTTATGGGGGCGATATGAAGACGTGTTCCTTCATACAATTAGGAAATCTGAAACAATTCTGGTGAAAAAATACCGATAAAATCATCAAGATATCGAAATGAGGGAGGAACCGTTATATGGGGGCTATATGTAGGCATGGACCTGCATGGACACTTTTTTGTCATACATTGTAGTATCCATTACGAAATTTAAATACGAAATTTGAAACAATTCCGGTTAATAATATCGCTTAAATCATCAAAATACCGAAGATAGGAAGGCATCGTATTATGGGGGTTCCTTCATACAATTAGGAAATCTGAAACAATTCTGGTGAAAAAATACCGATAAAATCATCAAAATATCGAATACAGGGAGGCATCTTTATACGGGGGCTATACAAAGGCGTGGACCTGCATGGACACTTTTTTGCCACACATTGTAGAACCCATTACGAACATCAAGTACGAAATTTGAAACAATTCCGGTTAATAATATCGCTTAAATCATCAAAATAACGAAGATAGGAAGGTATCGTTATATGGAGGCTATATGAAGACTTGAACCTGCATACGCGATTTTTTGTCAAAAGCTAAAGTACCTATTACGAACTTAAAATACGAAATTTTAAATAATTCCGATAAAATAATATTGCAAAAATCATCAGGAAAACGAATATTGGGAGGTACCGTTATGTGGGGGCTATATGAAAAGTTGAACCTACATGGCCCATTTACGAACTTAACCTGCCTACTGGATAAATAAACATGTGTGTAAAATGTTAGCCTTCTATCTCAATTCGTTCTAAAGATATCGTGATAACAACAGACAGACGGACATCATTAAATCGACTTAGAATTTTACGCTGATCAAGAATATATTTTGTTGGGTCTGACATGAGTATTTCGAGTAGTTTGTATGATGGAGGGTATAAAAATATATTACAACCCTGGTAGCCTTTTGAAAAATATTCCAAAAAAATCCACTATTACAGCACTGATGGTACTTGAAAATATATTCTCAATTCTATCTCTGATGGTCATTTGAAACTAATTTTGAAAAATCCACGTTACATGTATTTTGGCCCAAAAAACTCTTTTATTTTTTTTAATAAAAGAAATAATTGTTTTTTAAACTCCAAAAATGGAGATTTTATTTCCTTAATTTTTTTTTGTAAAACCTCCATAAAAAATGGGATTTCCAAAGGCAGAGGTAGTTATTTTATGGATAGAATATAAGCGTATGTCTCTTTATACATTTTACATTCTAAGCCTTTTTGAAGACATTGAAGACGGATTGAAGACCTTTGAAAGATTTTCCTTTGCTGTAGTACTTTCCTGTGTTCGAATATTCACAAAAAGTACATCGGTACATCTAAAATATCACTAGCATGATTATGCATAATTTGCTTGCTAGAACAGTGTGCTTCCCTTTCTTCTAAGCATTCATTATCGCATTCGACGGATTTTTGGTTCTTTATCAATTTCCGTTTTCATTTTCATAACCTTCAAACCAAAGTCTTCTGCCACGATTTCTTTTTCGAAGAAAACGTGTTGTTAATAACTCCAATAAAAAAAATTAATCTTTTTCAAAATATTGCACACATATCAGACATTTTCAAGTATTTACAAATAAATGACTAATATTATGCAGACAACAATTATAATTTGTTAATCTAGCTCTCAGCCGCTGTTGTTTCATTATTTGATAATCGTTTCGCAAAATGTTGTTTTCCTAGTTTATCTGGACGACGTATCTTATTTCAGACATGGTAATTTTTCGCTTTTGCACACACTTACCGAATGTTGATATAATATTGTAAATAACATTAGGAGACGTCAGAAAATTTTTGCGATAGACATAATACCAACCGTCCATCCACCCACCAACTATGTCCACATTAAGAGAGGAAACAACAAGTCCTTATCTCTGTTATTTTTTATGGCGCAAGACTACTAACTGGCTAAGGGATTAGGAATTTGCATTGTGATTTAGGAGGATTTATTTAGAGTCGAGTTAAAAATATCTAAAAAGAAAGCTGAAAACTTTATTACACTGCAGTGTGTTGAATTCTTGCCACAGGGAAGTCGAAATAAATCCGAAGAATTGTTTGTTAGAACCTCTATCTTTATTGAGTTCTGAAGTAATCCTGATGGAGTAGACACATTTCTCTTTATAGATTATTAAGTAATTCTAAGACATTTCCAAAGAAAATCTCTTGGATATGAAGGCCATTTTCTGCAACCATATTTTTTTGTGGTTCGGCAGGTAGGTATTACCAAATCATTTTAATTAGTCATGAAAATTCCTAAAATTGCAAAATCCCCCGTTTGTCTTTCGTACAAAGTCGTTGTGTGCAACAAAACCCATTGACCTTTACTCGGAACACTGCATGGCGCAAACATGGTAACCGTAACAAATTTTTATTTAGTTAATATTGTTATCTTATTTCACATTATTACCAGAATTATTAAGGGAAATAATGTGGAAAAACAAATAACTACAGTCAAACATGGTTATAAGGAATTTTGGAACTTAAAAAACTGAAAAGGGGACTATTTCTTTAATTTTAGAGCAAATTTTTTGTCCTTAATAGAAATACAGCGAGAGAGAGAGAGAGAGCAATGCTAACGTATAATTGTGTGCATTATTGAAAAGGGATACGTAGATCGACTTTTGTTGGTGAAAGGGGTAAGAAAGCGTTAAATTTTTCAAATCAATTTTGAGATTTTAAGTCTTTGATCTATTTTTAATATATAAACGAGCGGTTAAATAAACAATGAATCAAGTGTATCTATTGTGTATGTTTTAATATTATATTCTTGGGATAATATTCATCAAAAAGGCAAAAAATCAATGTTATCGTCAAAATATAATCGACACGATATTAGTTGGGTTTGGACAAAAATCGATTTAAGACTCGATTTTTGTTTTCAACTGTGTATATCTATTATTGATTCACTCAGTAATTATGTTAGGGAATCAGAATGTTGGTTTTTCTCTTTTGTCGAAAAAAAAAAATCATTAAATTCGACCGGCCGAACCACCACCATGTATGTTTATGAAAAAGTTTTTGAATTAAAACGTGTTCCACTTTAAACTACAGACTGTAGTAAGATCGGTAGGAGAATGGTTGGAGCCGTTTTATGCGGGCCAAATTGTTCATAATTTCGTGGGTAAATGTGACTATAATGTCTAGGACCCATATGGAAGAATAAATACCAAATTTCATACAAATCTGTTAGACAATGTGGCTTAAATCGTCGAAATACAGAATATCGGGAGGTACCCTTATGAACACTCATATGAACAATGTTCCTTCATCGGAGCTAGAACCCATTACGAACTATAAATACCTTTTTTTAGGGAAATTCGTTGAAAAATGTGGCAAAAATCATCAAAATACTGAATATCGGGGGCTATACGAAAAGCTCCGGAGCTGGAATACATAGCAATTTTTAGACAAACCCGTGGGAAAATGTGGCTTAACCATCAAAATACCAAATATCGGGAGGTACCGTTGTATGGGGGCTATACGAAAACTTGGACCCATACGTACAATGTTCCACCAATAGAGCTAGAACCCATTACGAACTACAAATACCAACTTTTAGACAAAGTGGTAAAATTATGTGGCTAAAACTATCAAATATTTATCGAATATCAGGAGGTACCTCTATATGGGGGATATCCCTAAACGTGGACTGATAAACAAAATACCGGTGCCAAATTTTAAAGCTCTACGTCAAATAATGTGAGCTGTATCGTGATATCGTTAAAACGACTTAGAATTTTATGCTGATCATGAATATATACATACACTTTTTTGGGGTCTATGACGAATACTTAGAGGAGTTACAAACGGAATGACAAATTTAATATATATAAGAAAGGGATATCCAAGGGAGAGGGTGTAGAAAGTAAGATGACAACATTTAGAAAACTCTAGCTATTACAAAGTTAACAGCTGATTACACTTTTTTCTGAATGTGTCTGACTTCTGTCCCTCCTGTTAATGGTTAGGTGTAAGAAATCTTTATTACAGAGCGGGCCTAGAAGAATATAA